AATAGACCAATAACATGGTCTGAAGTTGAGGCAGCAATAAAGAGCCTACCACCCAAAAAAAGCCCAGGTCCAGATGGGTTCACAGCTGAATTCTACCAGACATACAAGGAGGAGCTGATACCATTCCTTCTGAAACTATTCCAGACAATCCAAAAAGAGGGAATCCTTCCCAAATCATTTTACGAGACAAACATCATCCTGATACCAAAACCCAGCAGAGACTCAACAAGAAAAGAAAATTTCAGGCCAATATCCATGATGAACATAGATGCAAAAATCTTCAACAAAATACTGGCAAACAGATTGCAACAGCATATCAAAAAGCTCATCCACCATGATCAAGTAGGATTCATCCCGGGGATGCAAGGCTGGTTCAACATACGCAAGTCCATAAACATAATTCACCACATAAACAGAACCAAAGACAAAAACCACATGATTATCTCAATTGATGCAGAGAAGGCTTTTGACAAAATTCAACAACGCTTTATGCTAAAAAACCCTCAATAAACTAGGTATTGACGGAACGTATCTCAAAACAATAAAAGCTATTTACGACAAACCAACAGCCAATATCATACTGAATGGGCAAAAACTGGAAGCATTCCCTTTGAAATCTGACACTAGACAAGGATGCCCTCTCTCACCACTCCTATTCAATATAGTACTGGAAGTTCTAGCCAGAGCAATCAGGCAAGAAAAAGAAATAAAGGGTATCCAAATTGGAAAGGAGGAAATCAAATTGTCTCTATTTGCAGATGACATGATTGTATATCTGGAAGACCCCATCATCTCAGCCCAAAATCTCCTGAAACTGATAAACAACTTCAGCAAAGTCTCAGGATACAAAATCAACGTGCAAAAATCACAAGCATTCCTATACACCAGTAATAGACTTCAAGAGAGCCAAATCAAGAACGAACTGCCATTCGCAATTGCTACAAAGAGAATAAAGTACCTAGGAATACAACTAACAAGGAACGTAAAGGACCTCTTCAAGGAGAACTACAAGCCATTGCTCAACGAAATAAGAGAGGATACAAACAGATGGAGAAACATTCCATGTTCATGGTTAGGAAGAATCAACATAGTGAAAACGGCCATACTGCCCAAAGTAATTTATAGATTCAATGCTATTCCCATCAAGCTACCAATGACCTTCTTCACAGAACTGGAAAAAAGCACCTTAAACTTCATATGGAACCAAAAGAGAGCCCGCATAGCCAAGTCAATTCTAAGCAAAAAGAACAAAGCAGGAGGCATCACACTACCGGACTTGAAACTATACTACAAGGCTACAGTAATCAAAACAGCATGGTAGTGGTACCAAAACAGAGATATAGACCAATGGAACAGAACAGAGGCCTCAGAGGAAATACAACATACCCACAACCATCTGATCTTCGACAAACCTGACAAAAACAAGCAATGGGGAAAGGACTCCCTGTTTAATAAATGGTGTTGGGAAAACTGGCTAGCCATGTGCAGAAAGCAGAAACAGGACCCCTTCCTGACACCTTACACCAAAATTAACTCCAGATGGATTAAAGACTTAAACATCAGACCTAATACCATAAAAACCTTAGAAGAAAATCTAGGCAAAACCATTCAGGACATAGGTGTAGGCAAGGACTTCATGACCAAAACGCCAAAAGCAATGGCAACAAAAGCCAAAATAGACAAATGGGACCTAATCAAACTGCACAGCTTCTGCACGGCAAAAGAAACAGTCCGTAGAGTGAATCGGCAACCAACAGAATGGGAAAAAATTTTTGCAGTCTACCCATCTGACAAGGGGCTGATATCCAGAATTTACAAAGAACTAAAGCAGATCTACAAGAAAAAAACAAAGAAGCCCATTCAAAAATGGGCAAAGGATATGAACAGATACTTTACAAAAGAAGACATACAGGAGGCCAACAAACATATGAAAAAATGCTCATCATCACTGGTCATCAGAGAAATGCAAATCAAAACCACATTGAGATACCATCTCACACCAGTTAGAATGGCGATCATTAAAAAATCGGGAAACAACAGATGCTGGAGAGGATGTGGAGAAATAGGAACACTTTTACACTGTTGGTGGGAATGTAAATTAATTCAACCATTGTGGAAGGCAGTGTGGCGATTCCTCAAGGACCTAAAAATAGAAATCCCATTTGACCCAGCAATCCCATTACTGGGTAGATATCCAAAGGATTATAAATCATTCTACTACAAGGACACGTGCACACGAATGTTCATTGCAGCACTGTTTACAATAGCAAAGACCTGGAACCAACCCAAATGCCCAACGATGATAGACTGGATAGGGAAAATGTGGTACATATACACCATGGAATATTACACAGCCATCAAAAACGATGAGTTCATGTCCTTTGTAAGGACATGGATGAACCTGGAAACCATCATTCTCAGCAAACTGACACAAGAGCAGAAAATCAAACACCGTATATTCTCACTCATAGGCGGGTGTTGAACAATGAGAACACACGGACACAGGGAGGGGAGCACTACACACTGGGGTCCGTTGGGGGGAAATGGGGGAGGGGCGAGGAGGTGGGGAGGTGGGAAGAGATAGCATGGGGAGAAATGACAGATACAGGTGAGGGGACGGAAGGCAGCAAAGCACACTGCCATGTGTGTACCTATGCAACAATCTTGCATGTTCATCACATGTACCCCAAAACCTAAAATGCAATTAAAAAAAAAATCAGAATGCACCAAATAATTGATCAAGAGAAAAAAACAAGTAGCAGCAAATGACCCTCCAAGTCTTTGTCAAGTTGAACTTTTCTTTCTTCAAAGTCAAGAACTCTGTTGTAATATTCCTACTTAATGCTTAAATCTTTGTATATTGTGCTGTAACTATTCTTCTAGACGTACTTTTGATGCTCTGTCACTATGTGGTGGGGAGGAGTGCACATTTTCTAATCTAGTTTCTATTCTTTTATAGTTATTTGCACTGCAATTATGATATAATGGTTTCTGGAACCAGTTCTGTATTGGTTTTGTATTCTTACAAATGTCTGTAGCAATAGAAACACCATGCCTTTTTGTGTATTTACATGCTTTATGTCTCTGGAGGAGGTAAGCCACAAATCTAAAAGGCTTTTTTGATCACAATACTGAGGCACATTTCTGATGTCCAATTTGCAATTAGTGTTATTTTGGTTATTTTTCAGCATGTGCCTATAACACTCTTGGTCTTCTTCTTTTTTTTTTTTTTTTTTTCCAATGATAACTACTTCCGGATTCTTTGCTTTTTGTACTTTCTGGGTCATTATAAAAATTCTCCTGGTCTGTGTTAAAAACATGTTCGGCAACTGGTTTGCTATTATTTTCACAGCATACTTTATTTACATTTAAATAAAAATCAGAAGATGACTGGTGAGCATATTCCGAGGACCCAGAATAGAAATGAAATGGAAAGATATTTATGAGACTGAACTATTTTTGTTCAAAAAAATAACTGGAATACTATACATATGATTACCCCAGATGCATTTTTTCCTGACAATCACATATATTATTTGTCACATTACAGGGTATGTTCTTTACATTTCTTCTTCCTGTAGTGGCTCTTCCTTCAAACAATCAGAAGTTTTGGATTCTTCACAAATTTCATTCAAACTCTGCTTTAACTCAATTGTGATGAGTTTAAAAGTTTTTTCCACCCTCATTTGCCTTGCTTGATCCACATTTTCTCCTATTTTTGCACACAAAGGACTCCTGCATATACAGATGTATGAGCTCTATTACAGTAAGTGTTCAATTCTGTTTGTTGATACATTTTTTGAAGATGCAAAAATGGAAGATTAATTTGCTAGTTTTTATCAGATGTCTTTTCTGTCAGGGTGTATGTTTTAAAGATAACTTTGTCAATAAATAATAAAGTATGGAAAAATAAATATTAAAAATAAAAAAAATTTAACTGTTAAACTTCTTACTCTGTATCTACTCCCAATCATTGGATTGTAATTAATAAGCTAAAAATATTTGCATTAGCCTAAAATAGGGGAAAATATAAACCATCAATCTTAACTTTGTAACTGTGTGTTTGGACTAAGATTAATTCATGAAGTGTTTAATTTACCAAAAATGAATTAAAAGATGGTTTGAAGTATTACAAAGGTATCTTAAGATTTTATCTCACTGTACCTGAAATAGTGATACTGAACAGTGCACACTTGCTTTTTTTTCCAAATATTACTAACTGGTGAGTAGGCAAACTTTAATAGAAATCAGAATCAACACTAATCAGGTAAAAGCCAAATTCTTACAATTAAATTCAAATTATACACAGTAATATGATAGTGTTATGTAGCTATTCTATACAGGCTGTAGTGCTAAGTTTCAATATATTCTAAAGTCCACTAATGACAATGGATTAAAAATTTTTTGACCATAATTACAAATTTCCTATATTGAAATAAGTTAGAAAGTTACTCTTTGTGCCCTAACACCAAAGCTTCCATTCTACAGACTGGTTCTCTTGATAGGCAGTTGGGTTGACTTTATGACCCTATTCTCTCCTCAAACATAGATGCTGCAGTCAATTAAAAATCAAAATGGATAATACATTTTTAATCATGGGATTAGTGACTAGTAATATAAAGTTGCAAGTTTTGAACCATCAGCAAAGATTACTCGTATAACATGAACCCAAGTCGGCAGCCATCCCTATTGAATTGTTCATAATTTTGATTGCTTGAAATTATAATTCAATATTTAGTGTTTATTAATTAGGAGGTTACAAAAAAGGAACAGTAAACAATATTCAGGAACTTTGGGCTTCATTTTGAAGGGAAAAGATTAGCTGTAAATCACTATGCATTCTGAGAATATTTTAAGATTTATAATCAGTTAAAATGGTTTAAAATTAAATATTATAATCAACTGATTCTAAAAGGACAGTCCAAAGGTAATTTCATTTGAAATATGCTATGTTATGAAAGCAAAGAAAACCAGAAAATTGAAATCAAAATTTTATATACCTGTTGCTGGTTATTTTCACATTCTTGAAGATTTTCTTGTTCTCCCTTCGATGTCATTTTTAAGTCTTGTTCTGGTAAAAAAAAAAAAAAAAAAAAAAAAAAATCCATGTATTTCATTAAAATGAACTACTTATAACAGTTAGATAAAAGCTATAGTCTTTATAAACATAAATTTAAACATTTTTCTTTTATAAAATCAGAGTTTAAAAAAAGCTTAATCTGTGGTGGAATATTTGCTTCTTCTTTTTATTTATTATACTTTAAGTTGTGGGGTACATGTGCAGAACCTGCAGGTTTGTTACATAGGTGTACATGTGCCATGGTGGTTTGCTGCATCCATCACCCTGTCATCTACACTTATTTCTCCCAATGCTGTCCCTCCCGAATCTCTCCACCTCCTGCTATCCCTCCCCTAGCCCCCAAACCCCCAACAGGCCCCAGTGTGTGATGTTCCCCTCCCTGTGTCCATGTGTTCTCATTGTTCAACAGCCACTTATGAGAACATGCAGTGTTTTTTCGTTCTTATGTCAGTTTGCTGAGAATGATGGTTTCCAGCTTCATCCATGTCCCTGCAAAGGACATTAACTCATTTTTTTTAATGGCTGCATAGTGTTTCATGGTGTATATGTGCCACATTTTCTTTACCCAATCTATCATAGATGGGTAATGGGTTGGTTTCAAGTCGTTGCTATTGTAAACAGTGCTGCAATGAACATAGTGTCCATGTATCTTTATAATACTACGATTTATAATCCTTTGGGTATGTACCCAGTAATGGGATTGCTGGGTCAAATGGAATTTCTATTTCCAGATCCTTGAGGAATCACCACACTGTCTTCCAAAATGGTTGAACTAATTTACACTCCCACCAGCAGTGTGAAAGCATTGCTATTTCTTCACAGCCTCTCCAGCATCTGTTGTCTCCTGACTTTTTAATGATCGCCATTCTAACTGGCATGAGATGGTATCTCATTATGCTTTTGATTTGTATTTCTCTACTGACCAGCGACGCTGACCTTTTTTTCATGTTTTTTGGCCGCATAAATGTCTTCTTTTGATAAGTGTTGGTTCATATCCTTTGCCCACTTTTTGATGTTTTTTTTTTTTTTTTTCCTTGTAAATTGGTTTAAGTTCTTTGTAGATTCTCGTTATTAGCCCTTTGTCAGATTGGTAGATTGCAAAAATTTTTTCCCATTCTGTTGGTTGCCAGTTTAATGATAGTTGTTTTTGTTTGTTGTTTGTTTGTTTGTTTGTTTGTTTGTTTGTTTTTGCTGTGCAGAAGCTCTTAATTAGATCCCATTTGCCAATTTTGGCTTTAGTTGCCCTTGTTTTTGGTGTTTTAGTCATGAAGCCCTTGCCCATGCCTATGTCCTGAATGGTATTGCCTAGGTTTTCTTTGAGGGATTTTAGGGTGTTAGGTCTTATGTTTACATTTTTAATCCATATGGAGTTAATTTTTGTATAAGTTGTAAGGAAGAGATACAGTTTCAGCTTTCTGCCTATGGGTAGCCAGTTTTCCCAACACTGTTTATTAAATAGGGAATCTTTTCCCCATTGCTTGTTTTTGTAAGGCTTGTCAAAAATCAGATGGCTATAGATGTGTGGCTTTATTTCTGAGGTCTCTGTTCTGTTCCATTGGTTTATAACTCTGTTCTGGTACAGTACCATGCTGCTTTGATTACTGTAGACTTGTAGTATAGTTCGAAGTCAGGTAGCATAATGCCTCCAGTTTTTTTTGTTTGTTTGTTTGTTTGTTTTTTTGCTTAGGATTGTCTTGGCTATGTAGGTTCTTTTTGGTTCCACATGAAGCTTAAGGTGGTTTTTTTCCAATTCTGTGAAGAAAGTCAATGGTAGCTTTTGGGGATAGCATTGAATCTATATATTACTTTGGGCAGTATGGCCATTTCCACAATACTGATTCTTCCTAACCATGACCATGGACTGTTTTTCCATCTGTTTGTGTCCTCTCTTATTTCATTGAGCAGTGGTTTGTAGTTCTCCTTGAAGAGGTCCTTCATATACCTTGTTAGTTGTATTCCTAGGTATTTTATTCTCTTTGTAGTTATTGTGATGGGAATTCACTCATGATTTGACTCTCTGTTTGTCTGTTATTGGTGTATAGGAATGCTTGTGATTTTTGCACATTGATTTTTTTATCTGGAGATTTTGCTGAAGCTGCTTATCAGCTTAAGTAGATTTTGGGCTGAGATTAGGGGGTCTTCTAAATAGACAATATCATCTGCAAATAGAGACAAGTTGATTTCCTCTTTTCCTCATTGAATACAGTTTACTTGTTTTTCTTGCTTGATTGCCTTGGCCAGAACTTTTAATACTATGTTGAATAGGAGTGTTAAGAGAGGGCATACTTAGTTTGTGCCAGTTTTCAAAGGGAATGCTTCTAGTTTTTGCCCATTCATTATGATATTGGCTGTGGGTTGCTTAAGAAATACTTCTTATTCTCTAAAACTTCAACAAACCACCTGGCAAGACACTAGATGCCACCTGATTCAAGCCCTATAATCATCTCATAGATTCACTGACAATTTCATCCACTCAACATCAGTGAACAAAACTGTCAAAAACAAAAAAATTAAAAATCCAAACAGATAAAGTAACACTGTATATTTTCCTTTTCTTTACAGTCTACTATTTAGTACTAATAATTTCCAATGTGACTTTCTTTTTACCCCTTCATCAGTTTACACTTTGTTGTTTATATCCAAAATGTTTTCCTCTACTATTCTGACAAATTTTTTAAAAATTATACTTTCAGTTCTGAGGTACATGTGCAGATTGTGCAGGTTTGTGACACAGATATATATATATATATATATATATATATATATATATGCATGCCATGGTGGTTTATTGCACCCATCAACCCATCATCTACATTAGGAATTTCTCCTGTTTTCCCTCCCCCAATCTCCCCAAACCCTGTTATTCCCCCACCCATCCCCTAATCCTCCAACAGGCCCCAATGTGTGATGTTCCCCTCCCTGTATCCATGTATTCTCATTGTTCAACACCCACTTATGAGTGAGAACATGCAGTGTTTGGTTTTCTCTTCTTCTTGATTGCATCCTGTAGTTTGGCCTTGTCTTAAAGTTTCTTGACCCACTCATGCAAGACAGTATATTAAACACATCACAAAATAATGTATAAGCAGCTTTCAATGTGTAAATATTTATTGCAAAAATAAAAATTTCACATTCATTATGATAAACTTTTATGTTTCAAAATCAGTACAATGTTTATTGAAAACATTAGTTTTGTTATTCAAGGAATAAATCCTATACTTTTTGTTTCTGAAATTACTGTGTTTGGGTATACCATGCTAGTCTTTAAAGTACTTTTATGGAACAGGTATCTAATCAAAACATAGCTTTCTTAACAAAAACAGTGAAAGGTCTTTCGTTCAAATGAATTCCATTTGATTACCTCATATAAATTTAACCTTTATCTTTGATGTGTGATATAAAGTGGAGCAATGAGTTGCTGTGGTTTACCCCATTTCTTGCACTCCTTCCTCCTTCCAATAATTTCAAGGGCAGTGATAATCTAATGTCCTGAGTGCAAACATACTGAAGCCATCTGAATTGACTTCTCTCAAGTGTCCTCATCACTAACTCTAAAACTACTGAGATAGCTTATTTCTTTCCTCTCTCATTCCCCCTTCACAATCCCTTTGTCGTTGGAAAAGCCTCTCAATTTGTGGTCTTCCTTCTCCTTGCATATACGCCTCCTGGATTATGCCCACTACTTCTTTACTCTTCATTAGGCAGTAGAATCTCACATCAATAATTTCTATTTCATAATCTTACCCTCTGGCTGGAAACATATTCAGAAATAAAAGCAAAACAACACTTTCCCTTGGTCCTGTTATGTCTTGAACTGCTATCCAATAGCAATCCAATGGCAAATAGATATATGGATGGGTACTCAACAGCACTGATCACCAGATAAATGCAAATCAAAATGGCTTTTATCCAAATGACAGGTTTTAATGCTGACGAGGATGTGGAGAAAGGGGAACCCTCGTACATGTGGGCATGTAAATTACTACAGCCACTATGGAGAATACTGTGGAGAGTCCTCAAAAACTAAAAATAGGCTAGGTGTGAGGCTTCACACCTGTAATACCAGACAATGGGACACCAAGGCAAGAGGATTGCTTGAGTATAGGAGTTTGAGACCAGCCTGGCCAATAAGGTGAAAACCTATCTGTACTAAAAATGAAAAAAATTAGGCAGCATGGTGGTACACACCTGTGGTCCCAGCTACTTGGGAGGCTGATGTGCAAGAATTGCTTGAGACCAGGAGGCATATTTTTTTGCTTCTGTCTAAAAGAAAAAAAAAAAAAAAAACCCTAAAACTAAAAATAAAACTACCATATGATCTAGCAATCCCATTGCTAGGCATATACTAAAAAGCAAGGGAATTAGTAAATTGATGAGATATCTTCCTTCTTATGTTTATCACAGCACTCTTCACAACAGCCAAGATTTAAAAGCAATCTATTTGTACACCAACAAATGGACAAAGAAAATGTACATATACACAAGAGAGTACTGTCTAGTCATAATAAAGAATGAGATCCTGTCATTTGCAATGATGTGGATGGATATACTAATCAGAAAATTCAAAATTACCTAGCTAATTTCTTTCTTTTCCTCTCATCCTTGCTTACAATCCATCTACCTTGTGAAAATTTTTACATCTGTGGTCTTGATTCTTCCCATTCTACATTTTTTTATGGATTACTCCCACCAAGTCTCCCCTCTTATTTTAGCAATAGTATCTTACATCTATAATTTCTATTTCTTCATCTCTTTCTACTTCCCCTCTGGCTAAAAACATGACCTGAAATAAAAGCCAAATCATGCTGTCCTCTAAGCCTGTTATTATTGAACAGGTGGCTCTTCTTTCCAATTTCTATATAGAAAAAAGTCTATAACCTTGCCAATCAGAGCATGGCTTGAGGATCAGCAGCATTAGCATCACCTGAAAACTTAATAGAAATGCAGAATCCCCGGCCTGCTGAATCAGAATGTGCATTTTAAGAAGTCCC